ATGTCTGACGACATTATCGCACAAACCACGAGCTTGTAAATAGTGACATTAATTACACACCCTTTATTTATTAACATTTGTAATACATAAAACATAAAACATAAAGTAATATTACAACACTTTATTGATATCTACTTTCCCTTGTAACTGAACACTGTAATAAATATAACAAGTATATTTCTATATCGGATTAGTGTCTATCATACCCTCCGCTTTACATAAACAATTTGTCTCTCCCCGGGAAGAATGTTCGTTCGAAGCCGTATATGTTCCGTTGTTAATTGATGACAGTCAATCATTAAATACCCATACGGTTTACTCGTAGCATCGTGAAACGCCTCCAAAAGGTAATTGACATGTTTTGGAATCATTTGCTTGGCTAATGTCGCAACTCCAAGTGAATCACGCGGATTTTTAAATATCAGCATGTAGTGAGAATTCAAGCCGATCGTGCGTGATAATTTGCCAGGCGGAAATAAATTCTGCGTCAGGTACAACACAGATATGCCGCGATGATGCGAACCGCGTGTAAACAAGTCCGATACGCGTTGATCGTTGGAACAATCGGACATCATGTCATCCAATACCACCAAAGAGTTTTCGTGTCCGTTTGTTAAGGCATATAAATCATTCGGAAAGCCCTCGACTAGTTCAATGTTCTGTGCTTCCAATCATGGCCAGAAATTGCGGACATGGAATATGCAGATTGCCGTAGCAAATTTGCATATCTGTTCAAATATTATTCGTTTGCAGAACTATAAATTATATTGCGCATTCTTAAATTTTGCAAAATTTAAGAAAATCATTGCATCTTTGCTATTTGCCCTGGTTGTTTCTTGTAACTCGTGTCATATTGAAGATCCTGAGGTAATATTTTGCTGGCAAAGGTTTATGTCGGCTCTGCATTTTTATTTCATTTCTACGCTATTACGGTTTTCGTTTTATATGGTACTCAACGTGATAAATGACCAAAACTTTGTTTTGAAAATGCAGAACGAATATTGATAAAACATTTTGAAATACTATATAAAAATATTAAGATTAACTTGCTCTGCAACGAGCAATTAAGGCAAATTATAATCGACCTACCTAAAGGTGTATTTTTAGCGTTTAGTACTGTGCACATTACAGTTTACTATAAACTCACGAAGCTTTATTTTGACACCATATGCAAATTTAGGCGGAAGTAGAATGTTAACTATGTCCGAATTTTCTGGCCATGTCGTCAAACTCTTTCTGATATTCTCCGTAAGAATATATGATCTTTGTTGGAACGGGATGAAACAGTTCCTCTAAACAACTTTACATGGAGCAAATGTAAAAATTCGCCGGCTTTTTAAACCGTATATCTATCACGTAAAATGATAAAATGACACTTTAACGAGGTGCATGCATCTTATATCGGAAACTTTCCTTTTATTAAAGCAACCAGCTTCTCAAAAAATCCCATGCCAATCTTAAACTTCGACAAATCCATGCCCCGAAGAGATTGAGACAGCAAATACACGGCTCTGTACGTCATAAACTTAGTCTCCTCGCGATGCAGCGCGTACACCAGCGTGAGATACTCTATGGCACAACCGAAACTATCAATTTCCATCAAATGGAAAAGATTACATATCTGATACACACTGATTTCAGCACACAAATCACGGTGTGTCGTGTTTAATTTTGTAATGTAGTGGGACAATGTTTTCATATTTATGTCGAAATTATTGCGCTGAAGCTCTTCCAAAATTACAATAAAAACACAAATGAATACAACATCATAACCTTTTTTATTTTTAAAACCTCTTACAGCAAATAACAACTATAAATAAGCCATTATATTTAGGTCACTATAGGTTCGTATTTAGACATTAGATATCTATTCTCCTTTACTTGCATTAACAACTCCAACGCCTCCTCCTGATCTTTTCTCATCGCCTCGTAATGTTCTAACACCTGCTCGTAGTACGTCAACTTCAATACACGCATAGCTTCGGTAAACTTCTTCCACACTGCATCTCGCCCCAACTCACGTGAACTCCGTTGCTTCCACGCCGTGCATCGTCCAGCCTTCCTCTTCCGTCATCATTAAACACTCGTGTCTTCTCTGGCTCGGATGATCCTCCTTACATCCACAGCATTTCTCCGTACGCAATCTTCTTATCTCCTCCGAAACGTTTTCCACAAGTATCGCATCAAATAAATCACATAACTCTTTTATCTCCGACGGTACCACCTCATCTACCGCACTTCTTAATAATTTACTTGACCAAGACATTTCCTCGCATCATTCAATCGAAAAAAACTAAAAGCCACTTTAAATACCTACGCGTGCGTACGTACGTGCGTACACAAATAGTTAAAAACACAATACCTTACACCTAAAACGTATATTGTCATCATGCAGTGTCTACATGGAGCACCGGCCGCATCCTCAACTACCAGCAATGGCTCCTTTTGGTTCTGTGATCAAAAACCAAGCTGTAACTTTATCTGCTCCTTCGCACCAGAAAGCGAAGCTGAACTCTTCAAAAAAGCCATCACTGCTTGGCAATCCACAAGCCAAAAACAACCCAAGTGTGGCCATGGCAAGCTGGCAAAACTATGCGTCGTTAAAGATCTCATGAAAGCCAACTATGGACGACCATTCTTCGTTTGCCCTGACAATAATTATCCATGCTCTTTCTGTGAATGGGGCGACGTACCACCATTAAACAAGCCAATGTGTCAGCACTCCTATCAATGTGCAGTCCGAAAAGTAAAGAAAGAAGGCATCAACAAAGGTCGTCTGTTCTTCTGTTGTCCCAACGGTCGCGAAAACTCGTGTCAATACTTTGAATGGGTTCCTGAAACGAAGGCAACAAACGAGACATTCAGTGGGCACACAAACTTTTATTATTATTATTATTATTATTATTATTATTATTATTATTATTATTATTATTATTATTATTATTATTATTATTATTATTATTATTATTATTATTATTATTATTATTATTATTATTATTATTATTATTATTATTATTATTATTATTGTCGACTTTATTAGGATCACTCATTAATACATACGGTAGAATACAAAATTAATACTAAACAGATAATGATCCTAAATGGCAAAGTATGAACGGAACTAGTGCAAGAACCATGCAAGATACCCGCCAAGAATTAAACATTAAAAACAATATCACAAACATAATAGAAATGATACAGTAAGTCACTATTTAGGATTTATGACACGAGCAACTACGAACAAGAGACCACGAACAGGGACTATCGACATCATATGTGTCCATTAATAAAGAGTACTTTCTTTTCAGAAAAGTTTTAAAAGAGTTAGGATCTGTCATGAGATCAAAGTTAATGTCCTTACAAAGGCAGTTCCAGGTTTTTATAATACGGTTATAAAAGGATGATTGAAAAGTACTGGTTTTGCACGATTGAGATTGGAGTATGTATGGGGATTTACGGCTTAACCGGGTGCGACCATGGTTGACAAACGTAACGTAGTTTTCAGTATCTACGTTTAGAAAACCAAACAAGGACTTATACAGGTGAACCAAGTCCTTAATCTCACGGTCGTAGGATAGTGGCAGCAGATGCAGAGCGACCAAACGCTCTTTATAGTCCAATTCTCCGCTGCTAAGAATCCACTTGGTCGCCCGTCTCTGCACTCTCTCCAAACGTCTCGACAGCATGATGTTGTTCGTTGGAGACCACACCTCTGTGGCATACGAGAGCTGGGATTTTACCAGAGAGAGGTAGAGGGTTCTGCAGATCTTTACATCGCGTAAGCCAGTGCATGTTCTCCTTAGCACGCCAAGCATTCTGTTCGCCTTAGCGATTATGGACGTGATCTGTAGGTCCCAAGAGAGTGTGGTGGACATAACGACACCGAGATCTTTTTCGCTGAGAACTCTTGTCAACTTCCGATCTCCAAGTGTGTAGTCGTGGATGATAGGTGCTTTTTTCCGGGTGACAGTCATTACTTTGCACTTGGATGCGTTGAAAGAAAGATTTTAAATTAGTCAGAAACATTTTGCTCACCTTTTATGAACACTAGTTTATTTCATAACGGTTACTCGTTCTTCGTATTTGTATTTAAAAAAAAACCCTTCATGTTTATTGTTGTTATATTAAAAAAATATATTTTTTTCAAATTCAACCTTGTTTACGTATTTTTTCTGCTTGCCAATGTTTGCCGGAACGTTTTCCGAACCATTCCGAAACAAAACAAAAACCCACGCGTGGAACCCACGCAAGAACCCCAAAAATGCTGACGCTGCGTGTTTTGCCGCTATATGGGGGGGATTAACTACTCACATGCCACCGATCGAGTTCCAGCTTAGACCCTTTCGTTCAAAAAACCTTGCTGGTTGAGTTTCTTAATTCTAGTAATTTAACTATTTCAAGTGAATTAATCCAGGATATGATATAGGAATACTAAGAAATTATGCAACTTTAGCTATCTGCTCTGGCTCCGAGTCTGGCTCTGCAGGCAAAAGTGCTGCGGCTGAGGCTTTTTTGGTCCCCTAGAATGTGATAATTTGATAATTTATTGTAATAAACTAACTTTGTAACCGTAGGTTAAATTACATCGGTTTTTGCACAAGGAGAAATAGCTAAAAAAAATTAAACTAAAATTGGCTATCTAATATATACTATAAAAATTTAAATTTAGCATACATCATATATGTTTGTTATATAGGTGCTGTGTATTTTAAATGCATATGATTGGTTCAATCGTAGTCACATGACTTTAAATAAATGCAATGTTTCCCGCCAGGGAAACAAGTGAAAAATTGTTGCCCGCATATTGTCACAACAAAGTTTTTTGAAATGAAATTGTCGTTTAACATGTATGTTTTTGTTCCTATATAACAAAACACTTAATGTTCGCTACACCTCGGGAAATTGTGAGTTTTGTTTTCCCTCGAGTCTCAATGTTTCTGAAATGAAAATGACAAGTGGAAGTTGTCTCTCCTTAACATGTGTAATTGTCTATGTTATAGCCAACTCTGAACTGAAAATCAGATTGAATGGTTCAAGTAACAATATGAGTGGAAGAGTGGAAATCTATCATCCAACACTTGGCTGGGGCACAGTGTGCCATTTCGGCAACAGAGCTTTTTTGATTGCTGAAGGTAACGTCACCTGTCGTCAGTTGGGTTTCTCTGGAGCAAAGGAGATCAGACACTGGGCTCACTATGGCGAAGGAAGTGGTCCTGTATTGCTTTCTCGTGTTCAATGCTCTGGTGATGAATCATTCATCTGGGATTGCAGTCATAATGGATGGAATAATCCTCTCTCTATCTGCGGCCATGGTGGTGATGTCGGTGTGGATTGCTACTAAGATCACAATCATTCAACGACACTGGGTTAGATAATAGACTAGATTTTCTTTTTCTTGCTGCTTACATAGTTATTAATATATGGTCTGAAGTTTGACTAAAGGGCCGAGCTTCAATTGCTTTAATAAACAACGACAACGTCCGAAATTAAAAATCGTTAACTGGTGACATTCGCCTAATGACCGGTCGGTCTATCATGTAGTTGGGATAGAGATCTTCTTAAACCCGCTAAAATTTAGGTATTTTAAACGTCTAGGCCTATTACATATCGACTACGTAATATAAATAAATATTAATATGTCCATCTCTTGCTGGATTAAGGCGCTGTTACTCTATGCGATTTTCCGTGCAAATTGCAACGTAATTCTACCAATGAGACAACATTTCAGTACGCTCTGCTGACTTATCTTAACATTTCGAGAACCCTTTAGTAATTAACATCACTCAAAATTAGAATTACACAATTACATTGCCAGTTGCAAGGGAAATTGCATCGTGTAACAGCGCCTTTAATCAGAAGCGTAATTTGATCAGCTGTCAGTTTCGTCCGCTGTAAAAGAAAGACATGATAAAAGTTGCTAACTCCTAAAATTAAAGTTCTGATATGTTCCAGCTCAACTAAATTATACTAAACTTTTCACTATCCAGCAAAAGTTTTGTCAATTTGTTTTAAACAAAGATATACAGCACTCATTTCGAATCTTTTACACAATTGGCGATGCTATATTTGATAAACATTTGTTCTGCCAAACCTCCATTTTCTGCTATACACGAGCCGAAAAAGCCTTTAGTCCAGTTTCCAGACCATATATATGATTCAGGGGCAGCGAAACAGAGCGGGAGACGGGGGTGAAATAGATCTCAAAATAAGTTTCCTATTCGATGAACTTGTCTGCGTGACTGTTCGAAAGAATTATTTTCAAGCGTTACTGGTGAATTTCATTGGATTTCCGGCGTTGTGACAAGTTTAGAAATTTTCTTTTTGCAGCCTCTTACGAAACGCCGATCGATTTAGACCCCCCAATCCCATATTTTTTTCGCGCTCCCTGTGATCCTTAGAATGCTTCGCACTAAATATTGTAATTCTACCGTAAGATGTTATCATCGTGATTAGGGAAGCTAAGCTTGATATAACTGGCAATTCCAGTTGAATGCTGTATTAGACAGTTGAAATAAAAAAGCCGTTGCACCATAAACATGAACTCACTAAAATCTAATTCCATCAAAAAAAGTTTTTGAAAAATAAAACACTGTAAAAATTAAAGTTTAAGCTTCGGGGAATTGGCGGACTGACGTTCATTACGGATTCCTTTGCGAATGTTTTCCCTGGTGAACGAATTTAAATGAAAATCCACTTATGTTGAAGAGAATTGTCGTTCATGATAAAAATCTTAGGAGTTCATGACAATACCATGTTTTTGCGAATGAGAAAGTAATTACTGATCATCATGACAAAGGGAATAAATATTGACTTTTGTTGTGCAACATGGCATAAACGCCCTTGTTTATGGTTTGAAAAGGCATATCCCATATGGTGCAACTCGCTCTATATTTCATTTAGATTAGAATTTGTAGGATTTGTAGTTTATTGTATACAACAGTATTTTGTAGTTTTTAGACGCGTCTCAATGAAAGATTGTCAGTCAGCATGTTGGTCAGTCAGTCTGTTCCTACTTTAGTTTAAAGTTGAGGGAACTTTGTGTTTATGCTTATGAGAACTAATTTGTGTAAGTGATAATGGCTGATAATTGAAAGACGCCTCATTAGCACTTATTTGATTCTTGTTCTTGTTATATTATAATCAATTATGTAATTAGTATAGCTCTGTCGTAACTGGCAGTTGCTATTGAATTTCCACCCAGTAAAAGTTTAAAAATTCCAACTTTCTTGTGTTGTTTTAATTCTGCTAAGTTATCTCAAACTGATGGTAATGTACTCGAGTAGTGGGTTACTCCATTGTATGGTTACTCTGACAGTGGCGTAACTATCAAAGTTTCAGACTGGGCCAACGCAGGGTCCTATATGGCCATGTTTAAAAGGGCCTCATGTAAAGAATGTACTGTACTATCATAAGGTTTTATGGAACACGTAAGGTTATTGGAGCGAGTCCGAGCGAGCTCCATAGTTTGGTGGCTAAGCGAGCTCAAACGCGATGCATTATGGTGCGTACGTGCGTATGTATGCGGAACTTGTTTTACAGTGATTTAAATCCTACCGGTCTTTCGCCATACACCGGCTATTTTGAAAACATTCGGTTCAACTGCTATAAAGTGATTTTCTACCCTAATCAATTTCTGAGTGACCAATGCGAAGTCCGGTTTCAAAAACATTAACACAACGAAGCTTTCTTTTGCGGGAAATCGACTACAAATTTGAGCCAATCAGGATGGATTTTGTTCCTTAAGCAACCAATCAGAGAGCGAGGTTATGCTGATGAGGTGATCGAGCCTCGAGGCGAATTCGAGAATCACAAGAACTGTCAAGAAGTGATGGTTGGAAATTTGGAATATAACTTATTGTCGAAATAGTTGTCTTAAAATTTGAGTCTACGGAACAGGATTTTGACGAAACTATAAAAGAATATTATAGGAGGCTGTAGAATGCAATTACAGGTAATTTCAAGTAAAGATATGTCTATAAATGCCTCTATATTTGACCATATTGAATTTGACGATACTAGTCAATACTCATATAAACAGTCTTCAAAATAACCATTGCTGATCGCTGCCTTAAATGAGGATTGGTTTTGCCCGTTTTTTACCGTTAAATCTTCTTAATTTTTGTTCAGTTTTGCCGGTCAAAGTTCCGTCAAATCTATGCGCGTATTTTCAGTGTTTTAGAACTTGTATTTTTAGGGCAAACGCGAAATTCTTAGCACGAGAGATGTATTTATAATTTTCATTACCACGAAGCATGTATTTATAACTACAAGGTTCGTTCGCTTTATTGAATTTCTTGTAGTTTAAACTAAGAATGTATTAATAAAGATTTTTGAGATTATTGCATGCTTGCCCTTAAAGCATGTTTACAGGTGGTTAAGTGATTTGTGTAAGGCCTTTAAAACAAGAATATTAGAGTTTCTTCGAACTCTGGTGTCAAATTAATGGTTCTGATGCGGGAAGGCATTAGATAATCGGGGTTGACTTGACTTTTCAGTGAACAAATTTTAATCCGGGCAGTCAAATTTTATTCCTGTGAAATCTAAGCTTTTGAAATTGCATATTCTGCATTAAAAAAATGTTTAAAGAATCATAATTGCTTCTATTTACAAGCATTTATCGATTATCATGGATGAAATGTTTGTCATGTGAGATATCAAAAACACTTGCTTCCATTCAATACCAGTGGCTAAAATTTTGGGCTTGGAGCATATAAAAACTATTTACTTATATGTAATGGTTTCTGAATCCTTTCGGCTGCCCTCGCACCAAGTGAATAGCCTTTCTTACGTCCCGGAAGGTGTTCTAATTCATATGTGAAGGTGCTAACCTATAGGTATAGTTGATGATTAGTTCATGGTCACACCTATGGGGTGTGGGGTAAATGCCCCACCACTTGGAGTACAGGATTAATTAAAGCCTGCAAATATATATATTATATATTCTGCAAAATCCACAAATGTGTGGACATTAGTGAGCATATCTGTGAATCATCAAAACTTGGATGCATATGAAATTGGGGATATCTGTGGTGGTACCAAACTGTTGTGTTAATCACGTACGTCCTAACGATCTTTATGCAAAGTCTGATTTATAATACTTACCTTATTGTCATTGTTGTAATTACGACCTGGTCCGAGGTTCGGTGCCCTGGGTATTCGCAGCTGATTACCAAATCTTGTTGGTGGAACTTTTAGTGGTAGAAGCTCACGATCTAGCGTTGTGCCAAATGCTATAGAGGATTTTCCTTTAAAGAAATTAAGAGTATTTATCAAAGTCAACATTATTTGCAACATCTATCTCAGAATGTCAGGATTCTACTGCATAGCTCTATCAGTTTTAAACTGTTCTTTTTAGAGATCCAGTAAGGATCATCGCTTATTGATCCAGTGCTACTCCAGGAGGAAACCTAAAGTAAACTAACTTTATTTATACTGGATAGCTCTATCAGTTTTAAACTGTTCTTCCTAGAGATCCAGTAAGGATCATCGCTTATTGATCCAGTGTTACTCCAGGACCAGGAGGAAACCTAAACTAAACTAACTTTATTTATACTGGATAGCTTGATCAGTTCTAAACTGCATGTTCTTCCTAGAGGCCCAGTAAGGATCATCACTTATTGATCTAGTGTTACCACTGGAGGAAACCTAAACTAAACTAACTTTTTTTATACTGGATAGCTCTATCAGTTGATTCAGTTCTAAACTGTTCTGGTTTCGTAGAAGTTCAAGACAGATATATTGTCTTCAACGATAGCATTACTTATTAGAGATTGTTCCTACCTTCCACAGCACGGGTCATTGCTCACAGGAACTCCCGACAAAATCTTACTTCAGAGCAAAAACAAACAGTTTAGTTTTAATAATTTTACATTATAATTTTCTTCTTTATGTATAAATTGTGACAACCACGATTGTTTTTGTTGACGTTTTGTTGCTATAACAACGAAGGAACGGCGAGTTACGAAATCGATTTCCGAACGCCCGAAGATATTCCCGCGGGTTTCGTGGATTTCGCGTGTAAGCAATATGAGCGAATCTTCCAGAGATTTAAAAGCAAAGACGGTGAAGTTTTTCGCTTTTAAAACAGAGAAGAAATCACGTTTGCAAGTAGAGATCATCTCTTAACAAAGATTAAGGTAAATATTACACTCAACTACGTGGAATATCCTAAATATTCATTTTAAGCGGACTTTGTAGTTTGTAATCGGGACTCGAGAGTATTAACAATGCAAGATCGATGCATGAATCGTGCTAAACCATAGCTAAACCAAGCTTAAATACAAGGCTTACGTGGGGTTAAAAAGTTAACGGCATATATTTCGACTGGTCGCCTTCAATTTTAACAAAGCGTAAGGAAATATTGGTCTTGTAACACACATGAAGTTTGGAGAATACTTTGTTACATATTGCTGTACTAAGTCACTATGTTTAACGTTTTATTTCAGCTCTTTTGCCTTAGTGAATTGATATCAGGGTCTGCATTGATAGCAATTGTATAACTGAAGCAGCTATCCTGACAAAATATGTTATTATGAATAAATATAAGACAGTGGACTATGTGAATTCAATCTATTTAGTTTTTAACTAATATTTGTTTTTTATTTCACTATCTAGCATAGATGGGTGCAGCGAGGTCAGCACTGAGACGACGTCTGTGTGGCCCGGTGCAGATGCAAAGACAGATTGATAAAGTTTTGGATGGTCAACCTTTACTGGCACCAAAACATGAAACAACAAAAGACCTGCTTGATAGCTAGTGCAAAACAAGGTAAGGATTGTTATACTTTATTAAAAGTTTAATATGCCCTGATGCAAAACCATTTTGTCATTGTATAATGAAATAAACCTTTTAATTATCATGTTCAATGATTTTACATGTGCGTTAGTGGAAGAGTAGGTACTGTCAGGTAATGAGTTAACAAAACTATTCAGTCAGCGTCTCTTGTTAACCCATTAGCTTGCAATGCACCCAGATGTGGCCTACTTTAGTTTTTTACTCTATCTAATGTCAGATGATTTTACTCATCAGTGGAAGAGTATTGTCAGTTAATAAGTTAACAAAACTATCTGTCCGTGTCTCTTGTTAACCCATTAGCTTGCAATGCACCCAGATGTGGCCTTCTTTAGTTTTTTATTCTATCTAATGTCAGATTATTTTACTCATCAGTGGAAAAGTATTGTCAGTTAACGAGTTAACAAAACTATCTGTCAGTGTCTCTTGTTAACCCATTAGCTTGGAATGCACCCAGATGTGACCTACTGTAGTATTTTACTCTGTCTAATGCCAGATGATTTTACTCATCAGTGGAAGAGTACTGTCTTTTAATGTGTTAAAAATATCCATCTATAAAATTTAGAAAACCAAGCCATATTTTATTTACATACCAAGAGAAGTGAAGAATATCTACAGCTCTTGAAACAAATCCGAGTGGACTCTGTTGACGTTCCTGACAAGGTGAGCAGGTTTAATTTGTTTATTTCTGCTTTTGCTATGAGTGTAAAAATGTACTCACTTTTCCCATCATAATTTTTGAAGAACAACCCTCAGCCTGAAGATGAATCCTTGTTGCTGACAACACCTACAACAAGGCTTAGCACTGAGGAGTTGACATTGTTGTTTCAACAGCAAATGAAAACCCCCGATAAATGGACAGCAAAGAAAATTGCATCTCATTTTAAACTGTCTATGAATTCAGTTGAAAACTTGTTGAAATACTACAGTGATTTTAATGTTCATGTTGCCCTGAAAATTCCTGAGCCTTTGGAAGAGATTACACATTGAATATTAGCTGTTTAAGGATTATTGTATACTGGTGTAAAGTAGTATATATTTTATCAGTTCTAAACTGTTCTTCCTAGAAGTCCAGTCAGGACTGACTTTATTTATTCTGGATAGCTCTTAGCTCTAAAAGGTGTGTGACCTTTATAAATAACTAAGAAGCGCCCTGTAAATAACTAACCTTATCATTGAATAATAAAAGTTACTCAAATTTTATTTTTGTAAGTCATTGATTGTCTTTCAATAACTATGCGCAAAACATGCTAATTACTTGGCAAGATCTCCTTCAGCGTTTTATAAAGAGTTTGCCAAGTGGAAGCCTGTTATTTAAACTTCCTCGAAACGGAAATATATTTCAAAGGTTTTTGAAGTATTTTAAAGTTTGTAAAGTGGAAGTTCAATGTTAAGAATCCTGAATCCTGGATGCGACCGAGAAGGAATCGTAGTAATGCAATCAGTAAGGGAACCAAGCCGGTTCAGCTTTAATGCATATGGACAAATAACTTCCACGGGCTGCAAGCATTACATGCGTCATGCTGCATGCTGTATTTCATAACCATTCCATTCTTTTCTCAGTCACACGTGTGAGAAACTGGTTCAAAAGACTGGACAAGAATTTAGTTTTTATTAATATTTATGAAAGAATTAATGTTAACGATATTTTAGTTTAAATGTATGTATGCTATATCGCAGCTAAAAATCTTTCAAGAGTTTCATTTTTCTCCTGGTATTGTTCGTTGATGTACCCCATTTGTTTCCGATCGAAAAGTCTCTAATTTGTTTGATTACGTCAGACCGCAACTTGGATTTTTTCAAATGATATGTAAAATTTGATAAATTACACAAATTTGCTTAACCATGACGATAACGGACTGCGGGTTTCCCCGTCAAATGGATTAATTGCGGGTAGGACCTGCTCGTGTAGAAAGTGCGAAAACGAGCGTGCATTAAATTTTTTTACGGAATATATATATATATATATATATATATATATATATATATATATATATTAATATACATTGTTTTACACATGTTGTATTACGCTCACTGCGCATGCGGTTAGAGCGCTCTAGGAATTGTGTGGAGAGTCTCATCGCGAGACGTTCACCGTAAGCTTTATGCAACGCTCGCTTGTTTAAGTTTGAGCGCTCTGGTGACTCTACTATTCAATTCCAACAATGTGTAACCGTACGTCCTGTGTCCCAAGTGCAGGAGTCACCATTGCGCTCTGGTGATAGCCGGGAGGGCACATTGTTTTACACATGTATATATATATATATATATATATATATAATATATATATAATATATATATATTATTATATATATATATATATATATATAATTACATATATATTCTGTAAGAAATATAAGAAATCATTACTTACAAAATATTCAGCACCTGAGGAGCTGACAATAAAGCGAAAACGTTTGTGCAAAATTATTAGATTTAGTGTTTTTGATATGCTTTGTCTGATCTTCATTATATATATATATATATATATATATATATATATATATATATATATATATATATATATATATGAACTTGTTGTATTAATGATTTCCTCAGACATAAAATTAACTATTTATTTGTTAATATCCAAACGTTTCGCCAGTCAAGGCTTCTTCAGTGGAATGGTTAGTAGCAATATTAAGATCCTAGTGTATATACAGGTATGTACAATTAAAAATTCATAGCTTATTTCTATTCTAAACGGAAGTAATAAACATGCTAGTCATGCATTAGTGATAAGTTTTACTTAGGATAAATGTCTATTAAAATTCTATGGGTTAAAAATGGTTTCGATATATACAATTCTATATGTTAAAATCGTTCTATATACAAATTGTTTTCCCAACACAACCGTTCATAATGTCTTCAGATTGGTTTTGTATTTCATGAGCCTCTATATATCTTCGTTCTTCGTCATTTATAAGATATCTTATCACTAATTGTAGCTACCATTTCACATCCGTTTTGTTATTTCCGGTGCTTATTTTCCGGTCATATAAAATGGCCGACATTTGTAAAATTCAAGTATTTTAAATGTGTTTGTATCTATTCGCAACTGCTTTCTACGTACATCTAATCGGTTAAATTAGTAAATGGAGATAGATATTAAAATTATTTTCTTTTATATTGATGTTGATCAGTTTTCTTGTATATTTATACGGCTATCAAGTAGGACTTGATAACAGTAGAAAGCAGTTAAATTGTGGTTGTTTGGAAGCGATGTATGGATCGATGTATCAGTGAAGTAGATTGTGTATTCGGTAATTGGACGAAATAGATACGTACAAATGTCTGTACGGTCTTTGTCTGTGCATGGTGAGCGAGAAATGAGTCGAGAGATTCGAAGAGAAACTGTATCAGAGGCTGATGGCAGAGAATCTTTAGTGAGACGAAGTTCAAGACTAAAGATACCGAATAAACGTCGAGATTTAGAAGAAGATTTTGCTGAGAAAGCAAATACATTGTTTAGATCTCGAGCAGGACATATTAGTGTTTTAACGAAAATTCAAGGTGATATTGAAACAATTATGTGTGCATGCGAGGAAGCGAGTGAAGTTATGTCGAGAAAGGCAAAGTATGACGATGCTTGGCGAAAATTTGTAGACGTTCATGAACAATATATTGAATATATAAATTCTAAAGAAGAGAAAGAAAAGGCACTTCTGAGTTATGAAAGACAGAAAATAAGAAAGTTGTATTTCGATGAAGAAGTTCAGCTATGGTGTAAAAATCTTGAGTTGGAAGTAAAGGGAAGTGCAGAAGAAGTATTAAGCTCTGGTAAGAAGCAAATGGAAACAATGAAATATTCTGAAACATCTATTCGAACTGGGAAGTCGTCAAATTTATCAAGAAAGGAAGAGAAGTTGGCTATAGCGAGGCTGAAAGTTACGCAGTTGAGAAAGCAGCAACAGCTCGAAAGGAAAATGACTGAATTGAAATTTGAAAAGGAAATGATGGAAGCACAGATGGAAGAAGAGCTTGCAGCGGTAAGTCTTAGTTATGAGCCAAACGATGAGGAAGAACAGAAGTTAGATCAAGATGAAAGAGACAGTTTACATCTTATAGACGGTGCTATAGACAAGACTGGTTTAAATCCAGTGAATCATATATTAACTAGTAAAGTTGAGAGCGACACAAATAATTTTCAAAAGGAACTTTCTACATCTAGAAGGCTGAAGGATGAAGAAGTAAATCAGAGTACATTATTTCCAACACTTAATCAGAAGCAAGGTGTTGCAGGATATTATGTAGCACCTAACATTGATACTATTGGATCCATTAATCAAGCAATCCTAATGCATCATAGCCAAAACCTGCAGCAGATGGATCAAGGCATTGCTTTGAAAGAAAGGTTTCGGCCGCCAGTGACAACGCCAGCAAATGACACTTGGAGTCAAGAAGTACAAGTTGCGACCGAAACAGATATTGGACAGCTGTGGCCACCAGGAGATTTAGCTGGAAATCAAAAGGTAACTAATCGACCGATTGGCCAGTTAATCGAACAGTCTCAACCACCGGAGCTAATAACAACTTCCTATCCGTCTCATGCAACACAATTACCCCAACGACGCATTGATCGTGATGTAGAAACTTTACCAATGATGATGACTACAGGCGAAGAAGTGGTACGAGCGTTACGTCAGGTTGTTTCAACACCGAAGCTTGAGTATATGCATTTCGATGGAGATCCAGTGAACTATATTTCCTTCATGCATAATTTTGAGACCTGTTTGGAGAAAGATAATCCCGGAAATTCGCGACGATTACAACTTCTAATTCAGCATTGTACTGGCAAGGCTCGTGAGGCATTCGAAAGCTGTGTTAATCTACCTGAAGAACATAGTTATCGGGTTGCCAAAGAGACTTTACGTGAAAACTTTGGGAAACCTCATATCATCGCTCGGGCTCACATAAAGAAGTTGGAAAATTTGGCTCCCTTAAAACAAGCCAATGGTGAAAGTTTACTGGAGTTTGCAAGATATCTTGAAGTTGCTAACAGAACTTTAGCAGGTATGGGATCTGAGTACACTGAGGAACTAGATCATGTTAATACGTTGAAATTGCTAAATCGAAAGTTACCTGGATTCATGAGAGTGAAGTGGACAGAACGAGCGGGAGAGATCATCGAATGTGGATTAAGACCGAAGTTTATACATTTTCTTCAGTTTGTCAAACGACGAGCGATACTTGTGAACAATGAATTCGGGGAAGATCTTGTGAACTTTTCATTGGATAAGAGTGGAAAATCGAAGAATAGAGATTTCCAAGGACGATTTAGTCAACGAAGTATATCATTTGTGGCAAAAGATGGTGGTGACAAGGAGGAGCGGGATGATGTTTTTGCAACTCGCGGGAAATGTCCTATGTGCTTTGGGGAATTTGGAGATGTGATAAGTTTCGAAGCCTGCCTTATCAAGAGAAAAAGAAATTGGTACAAGCGAGAGTTCTTTGTTTCAAGTGTTTATGTAATGGACATCTTGCAAAACAATGTCAAAAAACTCATTTTAAATGTCAAGTTCAAGGATGTGAGAAAGAACATAACACATTACTACACCCCACAGGGACACGTCCTTTGAATCAAGGAGAAATTAGAACAAAGAATCAAGTATCAAGAGGTACGAACACAGACGTTGACTCAGAAGGGGCAACAACCCAACAAGAGAGGGCTAAAATTACTTCTACAATTGGAGTCGGCGAAAGGGTTTGCTTAAGCGTGATCCCAGTAAAAGTTAAGGCGATGGGAGGAGGCGGACCAACAGTCAAGACTTATGCCTTATTGGACAGCGGTTCCGAGGTAACACTTTGTCATGAACGATTGAAGAGGAAGCTTGGTGTAAGTGGGGCAGAGTTGGATTTTACGCTATCAGGCATAACTGGAGCAACAAGAATGAAAAGTGAATTGATCGATATAACAGTTACTTCCATGAACAATGGCACATCAGTGAATTTATCAAATGTTCGTACTGTAACTGAAATTCCAATTTCGGGAAGCTGTATTGCAAGGGAAGAAGATGTTAGGTCCTGGTCTCATTTAAAGGACATCAATTTACACGAGTTAAAAGTTGATGATGTGATGTTGGTAATTGGCCTACAGGAAAAGCCTTCTCTGTTCATACCGGTAGAATACAGAATTGGTGGCGAGAATGAACCTATAGGCGTCCGATATAACCTAGGATGGACGGTAATAGGCCCTGCTCGTGGACAAAAAGACAAGGAAGTTTGTTCGACTAATTTCGTGCGTACAGTAGATAAATCATGTATCACCAAAGAAAACGAACTTCACCATCTGTTTCCTTTTTGTAAATTCGACGAGAATGTAAAAGCTATGGATCGACAAACCGTGAATCTTTTGAATGAAGGCAATAGTGATTTGATTGTGGAGCAGCATACGGGAAATGTACAAGACTTGTGTCCATGGGAGATTGAAGTCGAACGCCAACGTCAGAATGATGATCTTAACCGACAGCTTGAAAGTTTATGGAAAACGGACTTCGCAGGTTCTCTCGTTGACAACAAGGCATGTAATTCGATTGAAGACAGGAAGGCATTGAAAATAATGGAAACAACTTTGACAATGGTACATGGCCACTTCCAAGTTGCCCTACCTTGGAGATATAATCCACCTTATTTGCCAAATAATAAGGTTGTGGCATCACGCAGAGTCTTCTACTTGAAGAAAAGGTTGATGAAGGATGAGAGTCTGCGCATAAAATATCGAGAGACGATGAATAACTATATTAGCGACGGGCATGCTGAAAAGATCCCAGAAGAAGAATTGAACCCAGACGATAGACCTGTTTGGTATGTACCACATCATCCTGTTGTGCACCCTCTCAAACCGGGAAAAGTAAGAGTAGTTTATGATTGCGCAGCTACGTATAAAGGGACATCGTTAAATCAGCAGTTGATGTCTGGTCCTGATCAGACAAATCAATTACTCGGAGTCCTAATTCGTTTTAGACAAGAGAGAATTGGATTGGTCGCTGACGTAGAAGCTATGTTCCACCAAGTATTAGTAGAGCCAAAGGATCGAGATGTATTAAGATTCTTATGGTGGCCAGACGCAGACCTGTCTAAAGAGTTGCAAGAATACCGAATGGTGAAACACCTCTTCGGCGCTACGTCGTCGCTTAGTGTCGCCAATTTTTGTCTACGAAAAACAGCAGAGTTAAACAGTGAAGAATTTGATGACGTCACAATAGAGACAGTGAAACGAAATATGTATGTGGATGACCTGCTCAAATCTACCAATACTACAGATAAAGCTATCAGGCTAGTTCAACAGTTGAGAGAATTACTTCAGAAGGGTGGATTTCGATTGACAAAATGGTTTAGCAATGATAAACTGGTGTTGGCGACAGTTCCTGAATCTGAACGAACGAAGTCAATGATCAATTTAAAGGGAGATCGGCTGCCAACTGAGAATACCCTTGGGTTAAAATGGAATTCAGATGAAGATGCATTTGTGTGGACGATAACAGAAAAGATGTTGCAGTTCACCAGAGAAAAATCAATAACGCGTAGAGGCATGGTGTCGGCGATTTATTCGTTCTTCGATCCGTTAGGACTAATCGCCCCCTTTGTCATGAAAGCCAAACTCCTATTGCAAGTCCTCAGCAGAAAACAAATCAGCTGGGACGATCCTTTGCCAGGGAATGAGCTTGCACAATGGACTCGTTGGTTACAAGATATTCCCAAATTGCAAGAAGTAAAGATCAGTCGTTGTTTCATACCACTGAGTTTCAGTGAAATCAAGGTTGTGCAACTACACCTATTTTCAGATGCTTCACGAGTAGGGTATGCAGCGGTGGCATACCTTCGTCTTGAAGAAGCAAGTGGTAATGTACACATCGCGTTTGTTATGGGCAAGTCGAGGCTGGCACCGTTACGTGAAATAAGTATTCCACGGCTGGAGTTAACTGCCGCTGTCCTCTCAGTAAGATTATCCACCATAATTCGTGAAGAATTAGACATGTCGATACAGAAAACGTATTATTGGACGGACTCGATGTCGGTGTTGAAGTGCATAAATAATCAAACAAAACGATCTCATACATTTGAATCAAATCGTTTAACAGTGATTCATAGCGAAACCGATCCGTCCGAATGGAATTATGTCAATCGAGAAGACAACCCCGCTGATGATGGTTCGAAAGGAATGAGGCTGAATGTCATGATACAAAATGATCGTTGGTTAGCAGGTCCCACGTTTCTTAAGGAAAGCGAGAGTGAATGGCCTCGTCTCCAAGGAATACCAAGTTTGAATGATGAAGATCCACAAGTTAGGAAGGAAATTCAGATTTATACAGCCTCTCTCCAAAGCAACGGTTTGGATGATTTAATCTCATTCTACTCGGACTGGTGGAAGTTAAAGCGAGCAGTGGGTTGGTGGTTACGCTACAAGCAATACCTTCAATACAAGATTAAACAGAGAGATATTGCAGGACCACCTGAATATCCAACGAAATACTTTGCGTATTTAACTCTGGGGGAATTAGAAGCAGCAGAAAGAGAGATTCTAAAGCGTGTCCAGCGCACTGCGTTTCCGACTGTGTTTCAGTTATTATCTAAGTCCGGGTGTCCAGTATCCATAACGAAGAAGATGCTTCGAAAAGCGGGAACATCAATACATCAGCTAAGTCCGGTTCTGAAAGACGGTTTGCTACGAGTTGGAGGAAGACTGGGTTATACCCAAATTGACGATCGAGCAAAACACCCCTTTATCCTTCCTTACAAACACCACTTAACGACCATGATTATTCGTCACTACCATAGAATTGTGGGTCATATGGGTCAAGAATTAGTTCTTTCTTCTTTGAGACAAGAGTTTTGGGTCATCAAAGGAAGATCTGCTGTTCGACGTGTGATAAAGTATTGTGTTGACTGCCAACGAAGAAAGGCTAAATTGTTAGATCAGTATATGGCTAACCTACCAAAAGATCGGATAACTCCCGATAAGCCACCATTCACGTATGTCGGTACAGATTATTTTGGGCCCTTACAAGTAAAAGTAAAAAGATCACGTTGCAAGCGCTACGGATGCATTTTCACCTGCTTAACAACGCGTGCGGTTCATGTTGAGATAACACATTCATTAGATACGGATTCGATGATAAATGCACTTCGTAGGTTTATTTGCATTCGTGGTTGCCCTGAATTACTAAGAAGTGATCGTGGTACAAACTTCGTTTGTGGAAATAAGGAGCTGAATCAAGCAATGGAAGATTGGAATCAGCTTAAAATTAATGAATTTTGCACCCAACGAAAGATTGAATGGATTTTCAATGCACCTGCAGCCAGTCACATGAATGGCGCTACGGAGAGAATGATCAGATCTGTTCGACAAATACTAAAGGCTATTTTGAAGGAGCAAATTGTAACGGATGAAGTTCTGCTGACAGTAATGGCAGAAGTGGTGAATATCTTGAACTCAAGGCTGCTGACACGGAATAGCAACGATCCCTTTGACGAAGAGCCCATAACACCCAACCACTTATTACACCTACGACCAACGACGGCAATACCCCCGGGATTATTTGGTAAAGAAGACATGAACTCCAAACGTGCGTGGAGACAGGCACAGTATTTGGCAGGATTGTTCTGGTGAAGATGGACAAAAGAATATCTTCCAACCTTGCTTGAAAGAAAGAAATGGTCCGTGCCAAGAAGAAATATGAAAGTAGGTGATCTTGTCCTATTGGCAGACGAGACATTCCCAAGAGGACAATGGCCCCTTGGATTAATTACCGAAGTTTTGACGAGTCGCGATGGATATGTTCGTACTGTTCGCGTAAAAACCAGTTCATCTGTGGCAACGAAAGCTAAGCGACAACGAAAAGGAGAATATAAAGTCGGTTCGACTATCTTGACACGACCAGTCCACAAGTTATGTTTTTTGGAAATGGAGAATTGTTATGAACTTGAGAAATGAACTTGCATAATGTTATAGAGTAGCTATACTTTAAGTAAATAGTATGATGACTATTTAGGGGTCGGTGTAGCTACCATTTCACATCCGTTTTGTTATTTCCGGAGCTTATTTTCCGGTCATATAAAATGGCCGACATTTGTAAAATTCAAGTATTTTAAATGTGTTTGTATCTATTCGCAACTGCTTTCTACGTACATCTAATCGGTTAAATTAGTAAATGGAGATAGATATTAAAATTATTTTCCTTTATATTGATGTTGATCAGTTTTCTTGTATATTTATACGGCTATCAAGTAGGTTGAATAACACTAATGCATGACTAGCATGTTTATTACTTCCGTTTAGAATAGAAATAAGCTATGAATTTTTAATTGTACATACCTGTATATACACTAGGATCTTAATATTGCTACTAACCATTCCACTGAAGAAGCCTTGACCGGCGAAACGTTTGGATATTAACAAATAAATAGTTAATTTTATGTCTGAGGAAATCATTAATACAACAAGTTCATAATATACCAGACATGTTCCACAAGCACCTTCATATATATTATAATATTATTAACCCATAAAATTAACGTATGCAGTACAATCACGTGATCGATATTTACGTATTTATATATATTTCCAGGTGACAACCTTAATGATAATTACTGTATATAAATATATATATATATATAATATATATAAAATATATATATATATATACTCATAGACCAGAGTAACTACATTTCAAAGCGACCCATGACAATTTAAGGTAAAATTATACCGGTTAAGGTAATTGTGCTAGACTGATGGTGCAGTTACACACTTACACCTTGCAACTTTCCTTGCAACTTGCAAGGGAATTCTAATTTTGAGGGATGTTACTTTGTAAACAGTTTTTGAAATGCTAAGAAAAAGATACCAGATCGTAAGAAATGTTCGTATTTGACAACTTTAGATTCCTCAGGAGTAGAATTGCATTGCAAGTCTCAAGGAAAATTGCAGATTGTAACACCACCTTGAATGTTTTGCTCGATCCAAATTTCTGATACTGAACTCAATTTTCTAACAGTATTGTCATTGAACTGAGAATTGACTGGTCATTCACTGAATACGTATTTTGTCGTTCGCACCTGTCATGACCACATGAAGTCTCCAGGTTTTGTTCTTGGGAATATCGATGTGAAATTAAAGACCAGTGCTCAAATGTAGCGACAGTTTATCTGCATCGCAGTCTAGGATTAGTTTCATCGTGTCGCCTTCCTTAGTAACATTTACCAAAGTACTGTCTTTTGTAAATGTCCCTTCTTTCCGCATTCCCTGAGCGCCACTTGACCCGAGTGACCAACCATTTGAGCCAGGGCAATCACATGAAAATTTATTAGGTGGTTGAAAATCGCCTTCCAATATTCCAATAAACACCCAAAAGTTATCTAAAAGCGACTCCAACTTCAACTTCATATCCACACTTTTTTGCCGGTGAATATTTTCACCAAGAACATATTCATGTCCACTATTTCCATCATGAACTGCGACTTTCCCGTCTTCCTCAAGAGTGACTCCTGGGCCGTGCAAGTTGAATTTCTCGTCAAACACAATTTCAGTTGGGAAGATTTCATCACTCAAGCAAAGATACTTGACAAGAATGTTGAAATTCCTCACTTGATCCTCGGGAATCTTTGGAATTTTGTTCGGATTCTCAAGAGTCGAAATCCTTTTCGCTCGGAGATAATCCAAAATAATGGCAACAAATTGTGGATTAAAATCAAAGAATACAGCGCCATCATGGTCGCGCTCTAAACTATCTTCCCAGCGACCGCTAAACATTTTAGCGAACAAGGAACCTTCAACCTGACAGAGAGTTGATCTTTTGGTTGTAAATTTTTGTCCACCAACGTTCAGATGAAGGATATCATCGTCTCTGACTGCCGAGGCTTGCATTCGTTTCTTCTCTTCGTTAAACGCTTCGACTTCCGCCCTCATCATTGTCCTCTCAGCTTCGATAATTTCGTCAAATTCGTTCTTAAATCGCTTCATTAACTCGTTGAATTTCGTCAATAAGTCTTTACTGCTCATTTTGACTCGTTATCAACGCAGTAGAAATGACTTTCAGCTCCGAAAAGAACGAAAACACTGTTTTAAAGACACGTAACGGTGTAACCAGAAATTTGACTTCGTGCTGGTAAAGAATTTACAAGGCTACGCGATAGAGTTTTGACGTTTGCAATATAAATCGTACGATAGCTAAAGCGTCAGCAGAACTGGTGAAACATCAACTTGGGTATTTCCAGACTCGAAGGCCATTCTCAGGTTAGTTGCTCCGTCGCGTGATCAATTTACGTGTTTTTCGTTTTTCGTTGGAATAAAATACAGGTTTAATTAGAACACTTTGCTGCGACGGGTAAAGTTAAAGTATATGCATAGCGAAGTATTGTGTGCATGGGTTTAATCATGCTTTGAATGAAAAACAATCACTTTTTCTCACAGCTTACTGCAGCGTGGCTTTTATTTTGAAACTACAGGGTGTCTGAGAAAAAGTTCACTTTTCAAATTCTAATTCGTTTCGATAAATACATCGCAACAAATTGTCCGTTACTGCATGACATGAGGAATTGTTATTTGAACTTAATTTGAACGAATTTATCTAAGTTACCGCGTCCTTTGGGTCTTTCTAGTCCTCATTCGGCCAAGGCAATGTAAACTTTATTTAAAACACAAGAATATGCTTATTTACATTTCAAAAGGATAAAATTTTTAAACACTATAGGTATAATTAAAATGCACTGCTTTTTTGTGTAATTGCCATGACGCGAATTCTTTATTTAAGTTCATACATTGCTAGTTTCAACATCATGGGCAGCCTTAATATACGTGATGATTTGAGAAATTTTTCAGCAATTTGTCAACATAATATAAAGTGACACATTACCGCACTATGTTGACAATTTGCCCGAAATATTTCTCGCGTTCAAAATATCACGTAATCGCTTGTGTAGGAGAATTATTATGCCAACTAAATTTACTAAGTACTAACTCCCCAGACGAATAGACATCGTTTTTGCCAAGTACAACCCATGCAGTTATAGATTAGAAAAAAAATTATTTATCACTTTCAACAAAAAATGGTACTAAATTGAATTATTTTTATAATGTACGTGTTTTGCTCTAATCCAAAATCTAACCCTGCTACCTTTTGTTGGAACGTTTGAAGTTTATTTGCAACATCTTTTAATCGCAAGAATATCCAAAATCTCGACCTTCAAAACATTAATTTACTAAATTACGTGTTCTTTCATTCGAGAAGAAAAAAATACTTCCAAGTATTAAAGTTAAAAATCGTAGAATCAAATGTTGTACAACAATTGCCTGAAATAGACAAAAACTTTTCTCGACGTTTCCACCTCAGGGACTTCGTCAGGAGAGTTAGCATGAAATTGGTATAGAGTTGTGTGAGAGGAGAACCCTAACCAACAATAAACCTGCCCTAATCTTAAAATAAATTAGAATAGTCAGGATTTATTGCATATGCAATTATATACCCAGAAGTTAACAAATTGTCCAGATAGCTGAGCTCATTTGAAACGGACTGTTCTGTTGGCGTGAAAAATCTCGTTATTCCGTTAGAATACGTATTTTGTCATTTCCACCAAGCAAATTGACATTCAGTCTCCAAGTTTTGTTCTCGGGAATATCGATGTGAAATTGATGACCAGTGGGCAAATGTATCGACAGTTTGGCTGCATCAAAATCTAGGATTAATTTCACCACGTCGGCTTGTTTTGTCAGATTTGATAAAGCTTCGCTCTTGAAATATGTACCTTTTTTCCACGATCCTTGGAAACCATCAGACCCGAGTGCCCAGCCATATGAACCAGGCCATTGATTTGAAATGCTACCAGGTGGCACGACATCGCCATCGACTATTCCAATAAACATCCAATAATTATTTTCAAACGACTCCAACTTCAATTTGAAATTCACAATTCCTTGTTGGTGAATATTTTCACCAAGAACATATTTCTTCCCATCAGTTCTATCAGGAACTGCGACTTTCCCGTCTTCCTCAAGAGTGACTCCTGGGCTGTGCAAGTTGTATTTCTCGTCAGGAACAATCTCCGGTGGAAAGAATTCATCGCTCAAGCCAAGATACTCGACAAAAATGTGGAAATTTTTGACTTGGTCATCAGGAAGTTTAGGAACTGCTGCTGGATTTTCTGGAGCCGTCATCTTTTTCGCTCGGAGATAATCCAAAATCAGGCCAAAATATTGCGGATTATAATCAAAACATACAGCGCCATCTTTATCACGCTTGCGACCCACTTCCCAGCGACCACTAAACATTGTAGCGAGAAAAGAACCTTCAACCTGACAGAGAGTTGACTTTTCGGTTACAAATTTTGTCCACCAACGTTTAGATGAATGATATCATCGTCTTTCACTTCGGTGGCTTGCTTTCGTTTCTTCTCTTCGATAGACGCTTCGACTTCCGCTTTCACATTTGAGAGCTCGGTTTTGATAATTTTACTGCACTCATTCTGAAGTCGCTTAGCTAACTCGTCGAACGTCGCCAATAAATCCTTGCTGCTCATCTTGGCTCGTTGTTAAGACGATAGAAATGCTATTCAACCGCGATTCAAGATGGAAAGGCCGGTTAGACGTCTGCAAGGAAACTTTGTCGCTTCGTCAGGGCTTTATTTATTATTAATGCAAATACGATAGAATAACGTCCACACGTATTCGGATATTTTTAAAAACGGAGGTTTTTTATCCGTTTTGGCCTTGCGTCCACACGTAACCGGCGTTTTCGGTAACCGAAAACGGAGGTTTTTAAAAACGCTCTCCAGAGTGGAGTTTTTCGAAAACGCCGTTTTCATGTTTACGTGTGGACGGGCGAAAACGGAGGTTTTCGAATACGATGACGTTGTTAGTCGGGCCCAGTCGATATTCGATAAGGCGCGTGTTTTGAATATATCCAAGATGGCGAACCAAAATGTTATTGGTGTTTTACTTGGGCTTATTTCAAGTATAATTGCATGCATTCAGCTGCATGTTACAATGTTAAACGTTCACGGAGAATATTTGAGAAAGCGTATGAATTTGATGAAGATGCTTTCCGTCTCATCCTCACAAAAAATCGTTCTAAAACGATCAAATAAGAAGCCATCTAGACCACGAAAATTCTGGGTAAGGCCAGGGCGAACGAGTGCTTGGTGGGACAACTTTTCCAGCTGAATTGTCTTACCACAAGAGTGGAGAGAAAATTTCAGGATGGGTCGAGAATCCCTGTATTCGAGAAAGAGCGAGTACGAAGCGAATTCAGAGTAAATACGAAGTAGCTTTACCAAATACCCTAATTAACATAGCTGTTACTACCAAGGTTATTGCATTTTGAGCCTGCGATTGTTTGGAAGAATTAATTCTGCTAGGCAATGCGCATGCTCGACGCTGGGCATTGTCATTATGCTATCATATTTCCTTCGTTTTCGCGTTTACGTGTTGACGGGCAAAAACGATTCGAATACGCTACGTGTGGACGCGAATTTTTTTGAAAACGGAGGAAAAAATCTCCGTTTTTTAAAAAACCCGGCTACATGTGGACAGGGCCTAACAGTGGGGAGCTTCTATAAGTATTAAACTTGGCAAGACGCTTTACAATGGCCTAAAAATACAATCCAAGCTTTTGCCTCATAAGATGTTAGATTTACCAACGATAAGTTTTTCCACGACTGATTACGACTGTTGAGTCTTTTATTTCGAAATCACTGGATATCTGAAAAGCTTCCTTTTCAAATCCTGATTAATCTGATTGTACGTTTGCTGTATTTAATCTTAAATTTTTCTATTCATTGATAATACGTATTTTGTCAACTGCCTCGTACAAATTTACATTCAGTCTCCAGGTTTTGTTCTTGGGAATATCGATGTGAAATTGATGACCAGTGGTCAAATGTAGCGACAGTTTACGTTTCAGCGGACATAAAATACCATATATGTATTTTGAACACTGTAAAAGGTGAATGGTTGAAACAACCAAAATAACCAAAATAAGTCGTTTTTGCTCGTAAGCATCCTTTAAGGGGTGGGGTCTCGAGACCAACTTTCACCTGCAGCCAGCATAAACGTTTTTCTAACTTTCAAGCCACTTATTGCAGCAATCTGAGAGCACTTGCTTTCTAAACCGATAAACAGAAAATTGCGAAAATTGGTTATGTATCTGAATTATAGGCATCAGTTGATGCATAGCTTGTTAAAGGCAATCCCAGGCAAGTCTATTGCATTTTTGTGAGCAAAATCAAATATCTATAGTAACTATATATTGATCGAAGTATAATTAAGGTTGAATTGGCGCAACACTTTGGAAAAACTTACCATTCAAATTATAAATTATTTTGATCTATCCTTTCAATTCCGGGATTTCCGAAATCAGTTAGTAATGCTATAATATTTCTTCTCTTTTTTGCTTTCCTTTTTTCTTTGTTGCCATTTGTGATGCATGTAAGTAGTTTCATTTGTATTATAACGCTCGCGTGAAAGCAGCTGTTGTTGAAGAGGCAGACGTAATTAAAGGTGTTTTTAAATAATAATAATTGAATAATGGTGCACTAACGTTGCTTGGGAAGGTCGTGTTTATTACACACTGTAATGCTGTGCTACGAATCTGGTAAGAGTGTGGGGATATTACCACCAAAAGGGGATATTTTTTTTAATGTAATGTATTTTCTCTATAAAATAACCTCGCAGCGTGGATTAGAGCGGGGAATAACTCGTGCCAACATGAAAGCATTTTTCTATAATTGTATCAATGTTCTTGAATTGTTAGCCATGCTGTTCACTCTGATGCCAATGTGCAAGCACAATTTAAATGTGCGAATGCAACACAATGGCTGTTGTCCTATGATAACTTTTTATCAGAGGATGTAAATTTTTCACGTTTGTTGAACACGAAATTTATTGAGCCGGCATTGTTTAAAAAAATAAAGACTTGATTTTCTTGATGAATGCTAAATAGCAGAGAGTTATATGTGTATGTCATATCAGGTGTGATTTAAATAAATTGATAAGTTTTGATAAAATTT